ATTATTATAAAAATTTAACAATACCTTTTTATAACTATATATTCTTATTTTCTTATCTTTGAAAAAATGGAGGAAATATTCCTCCACGTTTTCCCCGCCTTCATAAATAACGGGCAGGAGCGACAACACACGCTCCTCCTTTTGATACATCAATTTTATTGTGTCGAAGCATAAACCAACCGCCTTCATTTTGTAACCTATTATATAAAAAAAACTTATAATGAAAAATCCCTTAACTATACCAATATATACATGTATATATTATATATATATATATATATATATTTATATTATGTATATATATATATATATATATATATATATACATAAAAAGAAATATATACCTTGATTATGCTCCGACACCCCACACAACAATACTGTGTGTCCAAGAAAGGAAGTCACCGATGTCACATCTCCAAATTTTATCGGTCTTGACTTTGCGGTCGAGAAATGGAAGAAATATTCCTCCACGTTTTCCCTGTCTTCGTAAATAACCGGCAGGAGCGATAACACACGCTCTTAATTTTGACACAGCAATTTTATTGTGTCGAAGCATAAACCAACCGTCTTCATTTTGTAACCTATTATACGAGTAAAAGTACCCGGAATTTTCGTTTTTTCAAAAAAATATTTATTTATTCGTCTACATTAATGTGGTCCCCTTCAAAGTAGTCCCCCCCAGATATAATACACTCATGCCAGCGTTTTTTCCAATTTTCGAAGCACCCTTGATATTCTCTTTTTGATATGTCCTTGAGCACTCTCAGCGATTTTCTTCAATCGAGGAAAACCGCCGTCCTTTCATGGGTCTCTTCAACTTTGGGAATAGGAAAAAGTCACACGGAGCCATATCTGGTGAATTTTTGCACTTTGCAACACTTTATTTCATTTTTTACGCAAAATTTAATACAAATTCTTTGACTTTTCAATTCTTCCATTGTAAAAATCGCCGAGCTCAGAAAAACACGTCGGAACCTTAGCGGCTACCACAGACAAAGTAAACAGTGAATATAGCTGAAAATTTCATCATACTTTAGGGGCATGTATACCAACACAATAAAAAAAAAATTTTGACAATCAGACACTCCAGACCCGCGAAATTTAATTATTAGTAATTCCGGGTACTTTTTGAACAGACCACGTATAAAAGAACTTACAATGAAAAATCTCTTAACTATACCAATGTACACCTATATATATATATATATATATATATATATATATATATATATATATATATATATATATATATATATATATATATATATATATATTGAATGGTAGAGTCTTGGATTTGTGTATATTTTGTAGAGTTTCGAACAAGAATCCAAAAATAATACAAAATAAAAAACAAGAAAAGTTTTTAAAAAAACAATTTCTTTATTTAATTATTTGTTTATTGTCGACGTTTCGGAACTAGGTACGTTCCATCTTCAGGACATCTGTCAAGAAACATGATCTTGATGAGATTTTAGCAAACAATATGTTTAGGAAAAGAAAATAGATTTTTCTTAAATAATGAATTAATTGCAAAAAAATATAATAATGTACAGAAATATGATAATATGTTCAAAATGAAAATGATAAAAATGATAAAAATAAATGAGTGGATTATCAGAACAGGATATTAAACATAATAGAAAATTTTCTGAAAGTTATGGAAAATTTTTTAAGAAAAGGTTAATGACAAAGTTGAATTAATTACCTGTATGTTTGAATATTTGTTAGCACTTTTTCACTAAACAAGCTTTTTTAACAAAAATGAATTTGTGAGTTAATTTTCCGCCGAATAATTTAATTTCATTTTAATTTAATTTTGATTTACAAAATCTAATTATTCGGCGGAAAATTAACTCACAAATTCATTTTTGTTAAAAAAACTTGTTTAGTGAAAAAGTGCTAACAAATATTCAAACATACAGGTAATTAATTCAACTTTGTCATTAACCTTTTCTTAAAAAATTTTCCATAACTTTCAGAAAATTTTCTATTATGTTTAATATCCTGTTCTGATAATCCACTCATTTATTTTTATCATTTTTATCATTTTTATTTTGAACATATTATCATATTTCTGTACATTATTATATTTTTTTGCAATTAATTCATTATTTAAGAAAAATCTATTTTCTTTTCCTAAACATATTGTTTGCTAAAATCTCATCAAGATCATGTTTCTTGACAGATGTCCTGAAGATGGAACGTACCTAGTTCCGAAACGTCGACAATAAACAAATAATTAAATAAAGAAATTGTTTTTTTAAAAACTTTTCTTGTTTTTTATTTTGTATTATTTTTGGATTCTTGTTCGAAACTCTACAATATATATATATATATATATATATATATATATATATATATATATATATATATATACCTTGGTTATGCTCCGACACCCCACACAACAATACCGTATGACCAAGAATTGAAGTCACCGATGTCACATCTCCTAATTTTATTGGTCTTGATTTTGCACTCGAACTATAATAATAAAAATGTTCTAATTATACACATGTCCTGAAGAATAAAAAGTGGATTTAATTTACTTACACAAGCCTGTCCTCCCAATGTGATTCTGTGTGGCAGTCTGTTAATATTAGCAGCACCTCTTCTTTGGGTATTTCACTCACCAGAGTGAAATTCCTCAAAGCTCTCCCCATTTTATTTAAGAATGCTAGAAAAATTAAAACTATGATAATAGAAACGAAGAAATAGTTTTCAAATAAAATTATATATGTAATTTTAATAATACGCTATACATATCAATAAAAATCATGAATTTTTGTAAAAAAATATTATAATTTCTTAAAAAATATTAAAAAATACATAAGTTAGAAAAAGATAAACGTACTTACAATTTTCTTATTCCAGTGTAAAAAAGAGTTAAAAAGAGTGTTATGTTATGTATATTATTGAACACTATATATAACTATTATTCAACCCTTATATAATATATATAATATAATGAAATAGAATAAATATAAATTACCAATATCTTCCATAACTGATGTCATTTTATCACTCTGCTACAACAGCACTGTTCTAATTAACTTCCCGTAGGGCAAGTTATAGTAATCGCAAAAAAATCGAAAATGAAAATTTTTATATATCTTTACGTTTCAGAGGTTTCTGAATATTTTGGCATACCTTAGAAAAAATGGATGTATGTGTGTGTGTGTGTGTGTGTGTGTGTGTATGTTTGTGTGTATGTGTGTGTGTATGTATGTACGTGTGTGTATGTATGTGCGGATACAAATTTTCGTCGACGATTTCGGGAGCACGGATCAACCGATTTGAATAATTCAAAAAACATTCGATTCGTATTGATAAGGAGACGTGCTGATTAGTTTTTGGCAAAGGCAGGTCTAGCCGTTCCGAAGATACGGGGCAAAAAGTTCCGAAAACGGTAACTCAGTTTTTAAGAGAACGGAGCGTCCAATTTGAATAATTCATAAAACATTTCACTTGTATTGACAAGATGAAGAATCGATAAAATTTTCATGAAGGTAGGTCTAGCGGTTTCGGAGATATGGAGGAAAAAGTAAAAAAATGAGCCATTTGGCGGTCAAAAATGATCATTAGACATATGCACATCAAATTATCAGATATTTTATAGAGATTTTAACAATAAGTATACGTTTTGTTAACATTCCTATGGGTTCCGTACCAATGCTTATGCGTTAGACAGCGACGCGGCGCTTACGCGCTTTATATTTTGTCCCTATGCAAATAAAGCAGTACGATTGCTTTGAAAAAAAGTTCAGATCTTCCACAATATGCCAAAATAAAGAAAAATTTTTTTCAAAAAAAAAACAAAAAAAAATTAAAAAAAAAATTTTTTTTGAAAAAAAAAGTAATTTTTTGTACAATTTATAGTTTCTCAAAAATCTTATTTTTTCAAAGTAATTTTTTTTTCAAAAATGTTAATCGTTTTTAAAAAAATAATAATTTTTGGTACGGGAAGTTCCAGCAATTTGCCTTAAGGCACGATGCCTTAATTGCCTTAAGACAGAATTCCACTTACAGCTAGTTCTACTATTCACTTAGCGCGCTTGATTGCAAATGCACTCAAAGGGACGTTTACCCGATTTATATACGCGAAGGTGGTGCGTCCACACCTAACGAACGGACACGAACGAATATGATGAATAATATGCGCAGATTAAAAATTATAATATAAAACTAATCAGTATCATTTCCAATTATCTTTTCAATGTTCCATTGATATAGTGCAAATATTCATTAATTATTGTAATTTCATTTCATTTCAATTCATTAAATATTGTAATTGTTAGGCTATGAATTTAATACAGCAGATATTTGGGTACATATTAAGAGATTATAAACGTGCACAAACATCAAGTCGTTTGAAGAAAATCATTTGATTGCATGAATCACAGTGATTTAAAACTAATCAGTATCATTTCCAGCAAATATCTTTCGAACAGTTTGTGAATTTTCAAAATCGATTGAGAATAGCGGGCCAAAACGTGGACGAATTTTTTTATTATAACCAAAACTATTTGTGGCTATCTGCACCTACTTATATTAAATCCAATTAATTTCTTCTATAAACAAAAATACAGCAATCTACGAAAAATATTATTGCGTTAATCACAGTAATATAAAGCTAATCAGTATCATATATATATATATATATATATATATATATATATATATACTAGCTGACCCGACAGACGTTGTCCTGTACACATATGTCTATATTAAAAAAGTATTTAACTTTTCAATATCATTCAACTTTTTTTTTTAAATTATCTATAAATAAATTCAATTAATACAATAGTTATATTTATTTTCAAATGAACAATTTAACGATATTATATTCAGGAATGCAATTCCAATAATTAATGTTTTTATAATTAATATTAATGATATAATTAATCTTAATTAATATAGTATATAATTCTTTTTTTATTTTAAACTTTTAATGTAGTAGAGTTTATTGTAATGCCAAAGGATATACAATATTCTTGGTGAGATTATTTGGTGTATTTTGGGTTTCTGACTCTTGAGCAAGCAACATATAGTTGTCCGTGATTAAAGCACGGATTTTCTAAATTTATACCACAAAAGTTCATTGTCTGCCCTTGTGACTTGTTTATGGTCATAGCATATGCCAATCGTATAGGAAACTGCAGTCTTTTGAAAGGTATTACTGAATCCGAAGGAATTAGTGGTATTCTAGGCAAAAGAACAACATCATCTTTGAATTTTCCACCCAGAATAATTGCCTCTATAATGTTTCCCATAATTTTTGTTATTGCTAATCTTGTGCCATTGCATAATTTTGGGGCATTTAAATTTCTTAATAATATAATTGGAGAACCAACTTTCAATAGTAATTTGTGCGGCGGCATTCCTGGTAAATCAAGAGAATTTAAAAATTCGACTGGATAATTGACGATTTCATCAGGATCAATAACAGTATCAACTGATTTAAATGTGAATTCATATCCTGGCAGTATCTGTTGTATTTTTAAATTCATTTCGTCTACATCCAAATTCGTTGCTGCTAAAATTGCTCGTTCTTGTAGCCACTTATGATCTTTATGATTATCCTTTAAATTTGGAAAAATATTTTCTATAAGTTTGGCTTTGCTATCAACCATATTACAAAAATTATCAGGGAATTGAATGTACTCTGTATTTTCATAAAAATTAATTCTGCCATTACCAATATCCAATAATTGTTGTGCAAATTTTGACCCCAGTGCATCATTTAGACATTGAACACGAATGTTAACACTGAGATATAATTTCTTCACGTGGCGCCATAGATAAGACTTTTTTAAGCAGGCATTTATTTCATCAGCATGCGTCGCTCGTGGAATGATGGGCAATGTCTGTCTGAAATCGCCAGACAGTAGCAATAGGCAGCCGCCAAAAAGACAATTATTATTTTTGATATCTTTCAGTGACCTATCAAGAGCTTCAAGCGAATGCTTGTGCGCCATAGTACATTCATCCCAGATGATTATTTTACATTTTCGCAAAACTTTCGCCATTCCTGATTTCTTCTTTATGTTGCACATTGCTTCTGGATTAACATGAACATTTAAAGGTAACTTGAATGCCGAATGCGCAGTTCGTCCTCCTTCAAGTAATGTCGCTGCAATTCCTGATGAAGCTATTGCCAACGCAATATTATTTTGTGACCGCACACGCGCAAGAATCAGTGAAATAATAAATGTTTTGCCAGTGCCTCCGGGTGCGTCCAAAAAAAAGAATCCGCCCTGCTGTGCCTCAATTGACGTATTGATTTGATCATATACACTTTGTTGCTCGGCAGTAAGCAATATTTCATTATTAGCAACAAAAGTAGCTAAAGCAGTATTATCAAACTGGTGTTCACGTTGAACATCGCTGTTCATGATATCTACTGCTGCTCGGCTCGGTGCTGATATGCCAAATTGAATTAACGACATGTTCGTAATTTGGATACAAATATCTTCAATCATTATTAAGGCTTCGTTATATATTTGCTCAGAAAATTCATGATTATTATCTTGATTATTAATTTTATACCGATGCAAAATATCCTCACTCATTGGGTCTTTATGTGTATTCCATAGTGAAGATGCATCTGATGGAAAACATGTTGTTAATATTATTGCAAATAATTGTCGAATTTGATGTGCAGATGAAATCAGTGCTGCATCTGCAAGAGTCATGTCCCATTGATTATCATTCTCCAATAAGTGCAACTCACGGCACGCATCATAAAAAGTTTCATATAAAATTCCATTGACTGTCCTCAAATTTTGGAATGATCTTGGTCCTATAACATTAATCAACAACAAACGTAAATAAAAGCATTCTCGTTGCTTAGGATGAACAGTATACAATATACCCAAATTGTTTGTCATATATATGCCTTCGAATCCTGAAACAGGAATACCTCGTTTTCTAGGTACCCAATCTTTTAATTTTTTATCCCATGTAAAATATTTAGGTATATCTGTATATAATAATGTTCTAGCAAATCTTCCAGCAATATCTGATCTATTACAAAGTTTAAAAAATGCAGTTAGAGTGGTCTTCGGAGCAGTCAAAGCTTGTTGTAATATATTGTTTTCTGTGAAGTATACCCGCTGACCGTTCTCCAAATGCACAGCCAAATGTACCACAGATGGATTCCTTTCGTGTATGGGAAAACCAAAAATACGCCAAATAGCTTCATTGCTACTGACGTATCTACCCATTTGATATCGGGTTATTTCATCATTCTCATTAATACTTTTAATTGCAAATATCGCTTTGTCGCTCCCTTTATGAACATATTTGCATATGTATTTTATTGACTTCACCGAGCTGCATAGTTCGACATTTATATGTGCTTTATAGGTTTTGCATAGCAAAGGCGAATAAGGAACTACCCATCGATTATCAACATCTATTACCCCGCCATTCGACAGTCGCAATTCAAAACATTGTCCACCATTGTCAACGTCACGTCGCCGATAAGCGGGGTAACCATCAATGTCGGTGATAGTATCGTTTTGAAATGATTTTGGAAAATGTTTTGTACATTTTCCATTCACCATGCATGGTGACATAATGGTGAGAGTACCGCATGGACCATGTATCATGTTAGTAGTTATAATATCGAACAATTCCTCATCAACATTTTTATCAGGAATTTCTGCTGAGATAATATTGTCAATCTCTACAGAACGTACCTTATCAATTAACCACAACAAAATATGTGCATGGGGTAAACCTCTTTTCTGCCATTCTACTGAGTATAACCAACAGCGTGTTTCACCAAAAACAGAATGATGCGTTATCAAATTCATCAATGATTTCAACTTCTGTTTAAAAACTCGTGCAGTTATATCATGCCTATCCATCGTTGTTTGTCCCGGCATCAGCAATTTTTTTATTTCATCCCATTTGGGGTTGCACGTAAAGGTAATGAACAGATCAGGTCTGCCATATGCACGAACATAAGCCATAGCATCTTGAATGTACTCCTGCATATGTCGCGGACTTCCAATATAAGAAGATGGAAGAATATATGCAGTACCAATATGACTAATATCATTTATTGCATCTACATTACCAAGTACTGCATCACGCAAATGTATGTATTCCTCAGCGCGGAGTTTGGCTTGATTAAACTTTATGAATCTCAATCTCTCACTCTCAATTTTCACGTACATGTCGACCACGAACTGATGGAATAGCTGTCTGCATTTAAGAATGTTATTTTCTTCATTAGCTCGAATCATTAATCGGTAGCAGTAAAAGTCCATGGCACTTACTTTTTTGGCAAGTTCTGCACCTGGAATAAAATATATTAAAATTATTTTAATTATTATTATTTGAATTTTTTTTATAAAAATAAGATTTTTACCTGTATTTGGATCCCTTTGTTTAATATTCAAATGGTACCCATCTTCACCTTTCCAAAATATCAATGGATACTGCAAAGCATCATAAGAACGATGACTGTCCTGTATTATCTGCATGGTATTATCTCTCCGTTGTATACGTATATCACGCCCCTCACATAGATCACCAGCTATTACGACCGCGACTTCATTGACTGTTGGAACATTATATGCGCCAGCATGTTCTCCAACCGGCACTTTGTCTGCTCTAATAATAATAGCGTAATCATCGTTTTCTAGTCTACTTGAAAGAGTCTTAAACAAATGCAACAACTGGTTATGGTTTTTAAAAAATATTTCCAAAGAGTTTACAATATCTCTTTCCTTCATAAGCTGTATGTGATTAAATTCGCATCGCATGTTTGTTTGTCGTTCATCATCGCCCATAAAATAAATCTGTAAGAATTTCGGATTCACATCAGGCATGGGAAACAATGAACCGATTTGGTGGTAAACTTGACCTTGTATCTTAAATGTTGATTCGAAATTTCGACCATCTTCATTTTCAAATTCTTTCGTAGCACCAAAAGACGTCATCTGAAAACATGAATTGAATTTGCGAATTTTTTTCAGTAATATTTTTGATTGAGACGTTGTTCCATCTAGTAGAGTTTTTAAAGGTTCCGGTGGTGTTGTTAATTTTGTCAATATAATTTTCCCTGATGCGCAACATAAACCTGCTGATTCTCCTTTGAATTTTAGAGCATGGCAATGTTTACATACTTTGTCCATATTACCAATGGTAATTAAAGAGTGTGATGAATAATCAATTTCAGGATCATAATTAAACGCCAGGCGCGAAAGTGATGCACGTACCAGTGCTCTGTGATTATTAACTCGTCGTTGATTATTTTCTCTAATGGCGGCGGTCGCACTTCCTTGCACCTCTCGATTTCTTAATGCCATATCTGTCAGTCGTTGAGTACGTCTCTCTAAACTTTCATTGGCACGTGTATTTGCTACTTGCTCTCTCAAATTCATATTGTCCATCATATGTTGTTCATGGGTCCTATTCAATCTTCGTTCATAGATCGCTCGAGCTTGCCGAGTACGTCTTCCAAAATTACTTGCCCCTCTGCGAATTCGTGGCATCGTGGCACGATAAAAGAAAATCCTAAATATTATAACCCGCTGGATAATGTGAATCACTTAATCTCACTCTCAAATTGTACTAAAACTATAACTGAAGAATACCAATATCTTCCACTAATACTGTATTATGACTGATTCTTATTAAGCCGCTTTCTTAAACTATTATTTTCACATTACACACCAAAAACAAATTATATTTATCGCCAATTAATCAAGATAGCATAGACAATCCTGGACTCTACTTTTCCGTACTTAGCCACATCCTATCAAGTTAACAGGGATAAGACACTCTTAGCGGGCGCAGAGACATCTATCGAACTAACTCGCTTTGATAATTTTATAATATTTAGTTTTAAAAAAATCTAGTTGTACATGGCTATATAATTTTTTCTTAGAAATATTAACACAAAATAGAGCACAATATGGACATGATTTTTACCAAAGAACGCTGAACGCGTTGACATCAACATTCATTATAATACATTTAATTCATTATATTTCATATTCATTATATTTATCTTATTCTTTTTTTTCAGATTTATAGGTTAATGTTTGTATAAATATCGTGATATGTAAGTGTTATCAACATTTAAATTCGAATTATAAGTAAATTGATATTTCTTCAACTGTCATATCTCTAAATGAATATATCCATAGATAAAAGAGTATATGAATGTATCATAGGCTTCCTCTCAATTCTCAAACTGATTGTGATTTTCTTTACCTATGCTACGACTGCATAGTCCAGTTAATAAGATTCGTATGGTTAGTTTAAGTTGTTGATCTTGAGTCAAAGCAGTCAATATTTAATGACTAACTTTCTATAATATTCAATTAAACATTGAGTATAATAAATAAAACATAATGAGTGGCAAAGAATTGTTTCATGATTTTTTTTTAAGAACGATTACCATCAGTTACATTTGTTAAAGTTGAAAAAAAAGAATGTCTTGGTATGTAAAATACCATCATTTATTAATAACAAAATTTTAATAATAAGTACTTAATTCGTCAAGCACAATTTTATTTATAATCAATTTATGTAAAACTATAATGTGATTTTGACAGAAAAAATGGAGCCTTGTATGAATATGTATATTTGACACAAAAAATGGTGCATTGTATGAATAGATACAATTTCTGGAAGACTTTAGAATTGGCAGAACATCTCTAGCTAAGTGCAAGATATCACAAACATACGAACGCGGTGAATATTAAAATAGAAATAAATATGACGCAACAGTTTAGTAAAATATGAGCATATCTGCATCAGGAAAATAAATGAATTTTATTGCTTAACCAAAACAAATCACCATTAATTGTCAAAACAAATCACCTTTAATTATAATTTTAGGTACTAATATTTTCATAGGTTTGTGGGACATCAAACTGACAGCTATAGAGATTTTAGTGATCGCTTTGATATAAGTTATAGTACTCTGCATGTAATAGTGCCAAGAATTTTTTCTGTGAAATATGTCTCTAAAATTCATAAAATGGCCAGACAATAATGAGAAATTAGGCATTGCCAAAATGACTTTACAAATATGATTGGTTTACCCGATGGCTGCTACATTCGAATAGTTAAATCAGCAAGATATTAAAAATCATATATGAATCAAAGAGGATATTATTCTATTAAAATGCAGTAATGTTCTATATCTAGTTCTATATGTGTTTTTATATTTTCATGTATTTTATAAATCTTGTTTAATATCAGATTCAAGCAGTTCGTCATGATAAAAAAATCATCAATGTATGTATTGGATTTCCTGCTTCTGTACACGTTGCCAGATGTGGCATTTTACCCAACTATGGGAAACTGTCTACTCGCTAAGAACAACTTAATGATATCATAAAAAATATTCAATTTGGGTATATTTACACAAATCCATAAAAATTGTAATGGAAAACATTAAAATTGAGCATACATTTGATATACCATAACAAAAAATTCAGGCAGCTGCATTATCTAGAAGAAAGAGATGATAATCTGATTTGTCACTTTATAATAACATGCTGCATAATTGTATAATTTGAGACTCGATGATACATTTCAGTATGTCTAAACAGAAAAAGATATTATTGAGACGTCGAATATGGTTGATTTTATTCCTTATTTAATAAATGTTTGAGCGTAGTGGGCTGAGATTGCTTATATACATTCATTGTGTGAGAGGATAAAAAGTGAGTGAATTGTTCAGCATACAGTAATTGAATAGCATTGTCATTCCAATCATTTGATATAATGCTTGAAGAAATTTGAGACTCGATGACACATTTCAGTATGTCTAAACAGAAAAAGATATTATTGAGATGTCGAATATGGTTGATTTTATTCCTTATTTAATAAATGTTTGAGTGTAATGGGCTGAGATTGCTTATATACATTCATTGTGTGAGAGGATAAAAAGTGAGTGAATTGTTAAGCATACAGTAATTGAATAGCATTGTCATACCAATCATTTGAAATAGTGCTTCGAGACATTAAATAGGAGTCTATGCAGAAAAGACATGGTTTGTAGGAGGTATTATCAGATTGAGTTCTACACATTGGAAAGAAAGACACCAGGTTTGAAACAAAATGATGCTTTTGTATCAAGACCTTTTGATTATGTTTAAATTGATTATTGTTGACATGTATGCTTGTGCGATTGTTCTAAATTTAATTAAATAGTAAAATATGTTTTGTCATAATAATATTATGTATTGAAAAGAATACAATATTACTGTATTAAAAAATAAAATATGTATGTATGTTCCACAATATTGTATTTTTTATATTAGATACTATACAGTTTATTATGCAAGCTTTTGGGTACTAATTAATTGCTTCCAATATGTTAAATGATTGATATTATGTTTGTTGTCACATATATAGTCAAATTTAGCTGCATATTAGAAACATTAATGTATTTCTGTTGCAAAACTTGCTATCTGTTTTTGATATATCTCTGCATTTGGTTAACGTGTAAATTTTTTTACATATAGACATACTTTAGTTGAATTTCCGTAATAATATCTTTTGCAATTTTTGATCTGCTTTTAATTAAACATAAATCATAACCTTCAAAGAAAATTTTTAAATACATTTGTATTTCAACATCTGTTAAACTGAAATATATAATTGTATCTCGAAAAAAGATACTTTATTTAATTTCTGTCACATCTCAGCTGCTTTTCGGCAATAATATTCATAATTTTTATTCATAATCATGAATTTAAATACATGTTCTAATATAATGTCATGAGTGAAGCAAAATTTTTGACAGATGACAATTGCAATGCCCAAAATATTTTAAAGGTCAAACAATGATAAGCGGTTTTTTGTAATTTTTTCCATTTATTTCTACAATCTAACTAACAATCTATGAATCAAAACATTCTAAAAAATTTCCCGAACAAACTTCAGGAAGATTCATGAAAATCCGAATTATAGTTTAGGAGGAAATATGAAACTTACATTGTTACAGAAGAATTTTATATATAAGATATATATATGTATATATATATATATATATATATATATATATATATATATATAGATGATGGGTCAAATCAAAACCCGAAACGTATGTTCTCTTAATAAAAACATTTTCTTTCAATAAAACTGTTTTTAATTACTGGATGGATGCCTAAGAATAATTAAATTAAATATTATAAACGCGAACAAAAATCAAGTCGTTTGAAGAAAATCATTTGATTGCATTAATCACAGTAATTTAAAAGCAATCAGTATCATTTCCAACAAATATCTTTCGAACAGTTTGTGAATTGAACCATCAGTTTTCTTAGTACTATAAACGTAAAGCATGTTCATTAAGACCAGGTCGCTATACCAAGCCAATCGGTTAATTTTAATTTTAACAAACGTCAAAAAAACCGCTCATTTTCTCAAAATTTGATGAATTTTTAAAATTAATCTACTTGTTGTAAGACCGTGATATAAAACTAATCAGTATCATTTCCAACAAATATCTAATATATTATATATTATAAAACGTGGACGAAAATTTTTATTATAACCAAAGCTATTTGTGGCTGTCTGCACCTACTTATATTAAATCCAATTAATTTCCTCTATAAACAAAAATACAGCAATCTACGAAAAGTATTATTATTCACGCGACAATTTTCATACCGTTTAAGAAGCTGTGCGATTGTCCGATTGTCCGATAATCCTGGAAAAACCTCAGAAATTTGGCCTGAAAAAGGATCAATTAATACAATTATAATCGATTATTGTTAGGCTATGAATTTAATACAGCAGATAGATAGTCCGTGTACATATTAAAAGATTATAAACGTGAACAAAAATCAAGTCGTTCGAAGAAAATCATGGAATTGCATTAATCACAGTAACAGGGCTGGATTTTGAAAAATTGGCGCCCTGGGGCACTGACAAAAATGCCGCCCCATCCCTAAATTTTTACTTAAAATAGTTTTTATATATATATATATCATTTTTCTGAAATTAAAATGACTATTTGATTGCAAATTTATTACGCATTACATTATCTAAATTAAAATAACTATTTGATTGCAGAAAATTTATTACGCATTACATATTGTAAATAGTGGTGCTTGGTATCGTGCTTTAAGATAAATTGCTGAAACTTCCCGTACCAAAAATTATAATTTAAAAAACAAATTAAAGCGATCGGCCTGCTTGAGCTGCGTACAGACAAAATAAAGAAGCGCGTAAGCGCCGCCTCGCAGAATAACAGATACCATAGAAATGTAAACAAAATTTATATTGTTAAAATATCTGATAATTTAATGTGCATATGGCTAATGATCATTTTTGACCGCCAAATGTTTCTCTTTCAAATTTTTTTGTTGGATCACCGAAACCGCTAGACCTGCCTCCCACAAATTTAATCAGTTCTTCATTTTTTCTGTATATGTAAATTTCTTTTAATGATATTGGAGGTTTGGAGTGATCATTAGACATATGCACATTAAATTATCAGATATTTTAAAGTCATTATAATAATAAG